CAAATGGCTCTTTGGGGGTTAAAGGTTGCTGACCCCTGCCCTAGCCCCTTACCCTCACCTAACTGTAACCCTGACATTAAAACCATATTTTGAGTCTCAAAAGTGTCTTCAACCAGGATTTTGGTCCCCACGAAGACGTTAATACCCATACACAGGTACACACAGCCCTGAAGCTCCACCTCCAACCAGTAGGTGGGGGTAATGCGCCTGATTGTTGGAGTCAACTGAAGACGAAGAAAAAAGAACTACAGCCCCCAGGGGGCACTGCGGCCCGCAGACTGTAAACACACATGAAGGACGGAGAGAGCAGAGAGAAGCATGATCGGTGAGTCTACCGGACCGATCAGCTGATTGATCCGGTCAGTCAGCTGATCGATCCGGTCAGTCAGCTGATCTGGTTTTTTTGATTGATGCGGGTCAGTGAGGTTCTGTGTGGGCTGTCCTGTGTGCGGATCAATGACCTGATTAGAGTTCAGGTGCTACACGCAGTGACGTCATTTTACTTTCGAAAGAACACGTGACAAATAACCTACGTGAAGCTGAAGTGTGTGTGTGTGTGTGTGTGTGTCCTCAGTGTTTGTGCGCTTTAATCTGGGCCCTGGCGTCCCGGTGGAGCTGCAGGAGGAGGCGAGCGTGGCTCAGCTGAAGGAGGTGGTGGGGAGTCAGCAGGGGGTGCGGCCGGAGCGCCTCAGGGTGCTGTTTGCAGGCCGGGAGCTGCAGAGCACCGCCACACTGCAGGTACGCTAGAGGTCAGGGGTCACTGCGGGGTCGAGGCATCTGCAGGAGGAAGTGAGCACTCAGAGGGGTCTACATGCCACTGATCTCCTCTTCCTCGACTTTCAGTAAAATTCCGGTTAAACTGTCTAGTTTTCACAAACACGTCCTCTCCTTCTGGAAAATGATTTCCACACTTCTCACATGTGGACACTTTGGACCAATAGACTGATAACCGCTCATAGAAAGCCATTATTTACCAGAACCTGGTTGGAGAGCGGCATCTTGTTTGTGACTGGCTTGTTGGACTCTAATGGTGCTTTACTGGAGTATGCATCTTTTCTGAAGAGACACAATTTAGACACTAAAAGATACCAGGAAGGTTTGTCGTGCTATCCCATCAGCTCAGCTATTACCAGCACATTGTTACATGCTAACATCAAACCAGCGCTGCCGAGCTTAAAAAACTTTAATTTAAATGGTAGTACAATACGTTTATTAGAGTGAACTTAATCGATTCTTTTCCATGAGTTTGACTCAGGCAGACGTCTGCAGGCCTTTCACAGGGATCAGTCACTCGTGCAAAAGGTGTTTTCTGAATTTGTTAAGTAGCCTGTTCCTCCAAAAGTTAAAGAAACTCATTTTAAGGTCATTAATAATAAATATCTGAATTTCTAAAAAGGAGGTTTACATTTGGACCCGTGTTCTTTTAGTGATTCAGCCTGTGAAACATTACACCGTCTGTTTTTGTCATGTCTTGTATCAGCTGGTTGTCACTCAAGTCAATGATATCCCACAGTGTAATTTGATTGATATACCTTTATTAGTCCCACAAGGGGAAATTTCATAAGGCTGCCGACCTACTGCACGCAATGGCGGCGCCAACTTACCCTCCGACCATACATACCCACATGGAAAAGAAATAGTAAAAACATATATGATTTACTCATGAAAGTGGCCACTTTCTCATTACTTTCATATAATTTTTTAGTAAGTATCCAAAACATACAAGTTTCATTATATAATTTTTCAAGGGATCTTATGTGTTTTCACAGTGTGTGCATATCAGTGTATATGTGTGTGTGTCCAGAGTTCAGCTGACACAGTGTCCTTCGCCCTGCCAGGCTAAGTAAACAGTCCTCCAGCCAACCCAGGTGGCCTTAATCCCTCTTTTAGGTTTTAGAGAACAGACTGTGAGAGAGTGTCCAGGGAAAAGTAATACTAAAAACACGAGACTAGACAAGGACATAAGAGGCTAAGCAGGGAAGCTAAGGGAGAGGAGGAGGAGGAGAAAAGTGCGACCGCCTTCGTCAAGAGCAGAAGATAGATGACCTTCTATGCAATAATAACTCCAGTCCTGAAAGGAACGGTTCAGATCCCTCCAATCTAAATAATTTCAGGCCAATTTCAAATCTGCCTTTGTTAGCCAACGTTCTGGAAAAGATAGGGCTGCACAGGTTCACCTCACTGTAAATAACCTGTACGAGCAGTTTCAGTCCGGCTTCATGTCACAGTACAGAAACAGCTCTGGTAAAAATCACCAACGATCTTCTGCTTCAGCTGAGTCTGGATCATCTCCATCCTCATTCTTCTTGACCTTACAGCAGCTTCTGATACAATCTCCCACCACATCCTCCTTCACAGATTAGCATCTATTGGCATCAGTGGTACAGCACTCGCCTGGTTTACTCTGGCCGCTCACAGTTTGTTCAGTTACTCCCTCACAGATCAGCATCTACTCCAGTTAATTCTGGTGTACCCCAAGGCTCTGTCCTGGGTCCTTTACTTTTTATCATCTATCTCCTACCCCTCGGTAATATTTTCAGGAAGCCTAACATCCAGTTTCACTGCTACGCAGATGACAGCCAGCTCCAGACCCACAGCTACTCTCCCACCCACATCCATTTCTGACTGTTTAAGTGACATCAAGGTCTGGTTTACTCACAACTTTCTCAAACTTAATAAAACAGAATTCATTTTAATAGGCACCAAATCAAAACTGACCAAAGTCCCAACCAGTCTTTTGTTATCCATCGATGACTGTTGTCACGCCCTCCCCTCAGGTGAAGAGTCTTGGTGTCATCCTCGACAGCGCTCTGTCCTTCACAGCACATATAAATTATATTTTCATCTCTGTAATATTAACCGCCTTCGTCCCTCACTCACTCCACACAGTACCGCCGTACATGTCGATGCTCTTGTCACATCTCGTTTAGCTTACTGTAAATCCCTTTCTTTGTGGTTTACCTCATAAATCTCTCCATAAACTGCAGTTGGTTCAAAATACAGCTGCTCGTATTATTTCCAGAACTAGATCCACTGAACATATAACAGCTGTTCTTAAACAGCTCCATTAGCTTCCAGTTCACCTCCGTGTCAATTTCAAGATCCTGCTTCTCACTTTCAAAGCGCTTCATAAGCTCGCGCCTCCATATTTTACTTCATACGTACTCACTCCATCGTACACGCCACTCTTCTTCCCTTCTGTCTGTCCACCTGCTCGCCGGACTACCACGGGACTCAGCCTTTAGTTGTTCTGCCGGAGACTTTGGACGCACTTCCACCAGATCTGCAGACCACAAACTCTCTCACCACTTTTAAATCACGTTTCAAACCCATCTGTTCAGCGTTGCATACAGCTGATCTGTCTTAGTCCATTTTTACCTTGCTCAGCTTTTATACTTTTATGACTATGTCTAAATTGGATTTTACCATGTTTAATATATTTTTTGCTGCTATTGCTCACGTGTTTTTGTAAGGTGACCTTGAGCGTCTGAAAGGCGCCTATAAATAAAATGTATTATTATTATTATTATTATTATATGGATCATTTACAGCCATCTGTCTCTACTGTGATTAACAGTATCATCCTCTTAGGTAAAGACCATCTACATCATAGCCAGTGGAGAAATACTACACCGTCCTCCACGTGGGTCATTATTCACGTCACTGAAGAAACTGAAATCCAGCAGATCTGTTAAAATCTGTGATGTCGTTTCTCATCTGTTACTGTTTTGATTTGTTGTTTTTGTTGTCTTTGAATATTGTTCTACAGTTTTATCCTCTACGACAGTTTGTATTCGTATTGTTTTAATTATTAATTTAAAAACCCTCCTCTTCCTCCTCCTGTCACTCAGGGCTGCGACCTCCCGGAGCAGAGCACCGTCCACGTCGTCCTCCCTCCTTCAGGCGCCTCCTTTCAGCGGCTCGTGCAGGAGCACCGAGCTGAGGACGGAGAGGAGGAGCAGGGCTCTTTGACCAGGCTGGACCTCAGCTCCTCTCGACTCCCTGCCGACAGTGAGGGAGGAGAGGGCAGAGCAGAGGGGGAGAGTGTGGAGGAGGTGCAGGCTGGAGCTCACAGCAGTGAGTCATGTATTACAGGGGCCTCGATGCCCCGTCCCTTGCTGCTGCTGAAGTTTCTGAAATGTAATGTTTTTTCTAATGAGACAAACAGCACACTGGACTCTCAGAAAGACTTATTTATTTTATAACCGATTTTTATTCAATTTAAATTTTATTTTAACTGTTGCCTCAGCTGACAGTACTGTTTGAGTCCCGAGTTTACGAGGGCACCTGAAAGCATCACCTGTCTCTGATCAGTGATCCATTGCACACCTGAGATGGAGGTGTGAGGGAGGAGTCTGATATATTTCTGATGAAAGAATTAAAAATGAGCTGAAACACGTTTTTATCCACATTATTAAGCTGAGTTTCATCAGTGAAGCTACTACAAACATCTTAAAGTACTTTTTGTATACAAATACATGAAACACATGAGGTGCTGTAATACTCCCTTCAGAGTAGTATTACTCAGTACCTCGCTGGAGCTGTGAGTTCCAGTGCTTCTTGTTTCTTATGTACGATGATGAAGAAAAACGCTTGTATAGAAATGTCCCTGAGCACTTGAGCGCCACCTTCTGGCTGCAGTAGCACATTACATGCTGCTGCCTGGAAAAGACGAGTACCACCAAATACCCTGAAGTTGTATTTATAACCCTAATCATGCTTGGCAGCACCTTACTACTCTGACTGTGTACTGTGTGTACTGTGTGTACTGTGTGTAAAGGTGTGCGTACCTGTAGTACCTTCTTCGTGTTCTGTAAGAGCTGCCGCTCCATCGAGCCAGGAAAACTGCGAGCGCGCTGCCGACGCTGCAAACAGACGGCGCTGACGCTCAGCAGGGTGAGAGACGTTGCTGCTTAAACTACAGTACTTTTATTACAGTGCTTGTACTGCAGTACTTGTACTGCAGTGCTTGTACTGCAGTACTTGTACTACAGTACTTGT